GAGGCTTTCTGTTCCCGGAAATCCCCAGGGGCAGTTCTAGCCTGTGTTATGGGGGTGCTGTGAGTCGCACCGACTCGACAGCAGCGGGTCAGTCTCTCTCCAGTCTAGAGTCTGGGGTGCAGTGGTGGGGAAGTGCCAGGCTGGGAGGGAAAGGTTAGGGGTTCGATCCCACTACCTGCTCTGCAGTAGAGCGATGTGGCAGTCTGTTCCCATAGAGACGGGCAGCCTTGGAAACCCTTGGGGCCAGGGGAGTGTTTTCCCCACTGCCCTGCAAGGCAGAGCCGAGACACAGCATCACCCTGACAGGACCGTGGGACCCATGGTGTGTGTGTGGGGGGGGGTTTCTTTTTGTTAGGCAGGCCCTGAGGGTCACAGGAAGGTGGAGGACTGGATCCTCGCAAACCGGCAGGCGAGGGGGGCAGCCTCTGGGCCGCCCAGCCCAGCAGCTGCTTCCCAGGCTTCTTCCCGCCCCAGCCCTCAGCTCATGCCGACAATGAGCCCCAGGACTGCTGCGGGTGGGTTTCATGCCAGCCCCCACCCTGCTGGAGGTTTCTCCCGGGCCCCAGGGAGGGATCCAGCGGTCTGCAGGAAGGGAATCTCTACCTCCCCGCAGCCCAGTGCACCCCACCCCGCCACGCCCAGCCCAGCCTAGCCCCTCGGCGTCTGACCTACCTCTGGCTTTGCCCAGGCTGACCTTCTGGTAGCTGGTGCCCCTCAGCTCCTCGGAGCGGGCCGACTCCATCACAGAGCTGATGGAGGACAGGGTGCTGAGGAGCTGGGAGTTGAGGGCGCCCATCTGCGAGCCGGGCTCCCCGAAGGCATCGGCCAGCTCACTGTAGTTCTCAGCCAGCAGCATCTGCTGCTCAGCCAGCAGCTTCTGGACCCGCTCGATGTAGTGGTCCAAGCCGGCCACCATGCCGGGAGGCGCCTGGGCTGGGGGGCCCTCCAGGAACTCGGCAACAGGCCCGTCTCCAACGCCAACACTCCTGCGGCTGCCGGTCAGCCCCGGGGTCACCTGGTGGGGGCCACAGGCGATGCTCCTCATCCTCAGACCCACGAGGTAGTGGTCGTGAATGCTGACCTGCCCCACGCCCGCATCTCTGGTCTTCACGGCCGACGGCTTGTCGAAGCCAGCGTGTCCAGAAAGCCACGTTCCCACCCCGACGGACCGCGTCTTGGGCGGGGCGCCAACGTCCCGCACTCGGCCTTCCCCCACGGCCACCGTCCTCGTGGCCACGGTCCCCGTGCTGGTCTGCTTGTCCGAGGTGCTGAGACACGTGTTGGTGCCTGACTCCACCAGGGTGGCCGCCTCAGTGTTGGTGCTGCGCTCCTCCTGAGCCCAAGCGGTGCTGGTGTGCTGGCTGGCAGTAAGGGGCACTGCCAGGACGGCGGCCTCGGCCAGGCCAATGGCCTCTGTGTTCACGCCCCGGGAGACGCAGGCCTTCTGCGGGCTGACGTCCACGTCCACCGAGCAGTCCCCGCAGCCGACAGACCGCACGTCGGGGAGGCTCAGGTGGGTCTGGAGGAGGCACAGGTCGCTCACGGACTCCTCCGTGTTGCTGCCCGTCTCACAGACGCTGATGCGCACGTCCACAGCCTTGCTGCACATCTCCGTGGACCGCCCGGTACACTGGTTGCGCACGTCCACCCGCTCCCTGACAACCCATCGGTCCATGGGCTGCTCGGGCCCCACGGAGATGCTGTGCGTGTCGGGCCGGCAGGAGACCCCAGTGCTGCGCGTCTCCACGGCAGACCCCACGCAGGCGTCAGCCACGTCCACGTGGTTGCCCACCGTCTGGTCCCGAGTGGGCACCACGGCCTCCGCCATGCGGCTGCAGACCAGTGGCTGGGCCATGGTGGCCTTGTCCACCTTCTTCCGGGAGCTGGCGGCCTGCAGCTCCTGCTTCAGCCTGGTCATCTCCCGGTCGTGGGTGGCCTCACGCAGCTGTACCTCCAGACGGTAGATCTTCTCTTTGAGGGTGTCAATCGCCTGCTGCTGGAGCTCAATCTCCTGCTCGGCCTCCGTGCTCATGCCCAGCATGGCCTCGCTCACGCCCACCCCGCAGTGCCTCCTCTCGGGGGCCGTCCCCACTGCCACGTCCTGGTGGGACGTGAGGTCCCGGCGGTAAACCACGACCTCATGCATGCTCTCGTCGGCGCCCACTGCCACCGACCGGCAGTCAGGAGGCGCCGGGGCGGGCTCGCAGCTGCTCTCCTGGATCTTCTGCTCCAGGGCGCGCATGTCAGCCGCGAGCTGCCGGAACTCCTGCAGCCTCTGCGCGCTCTGCCCCACACTCTCCAGCTGCTCGTCCTCATCCGCGATGTACAGCTCGCCGCCCCGGCACCGCCGGGCCTGGGCCAGCTGTGGCAGCTGGCAGGCATTGCCGGCGCTGTAGGACCTTGGGCGCAGGCCCTCGGCCGGCGGGGCGGCCCGCTGGCTTTTCAGCTGCGAGGCCAGCTGCCGCTTCTCCTCCTGCAGCACGGAGATCTTCACCTGCAGCACGGGGATGGTGCGCACCTGCTCCTCCAGCTCCCTCAGCCGCCCCAGGGCCACGGCCATCTGCTCCCGGATGTGCTGCAGGTGCAGCGGGCTCACGTTGGTCACTGGCGTGGACATGCCCGAGCTCAGCGGGCTGTGCCGGAGGGAGCTCCCCACGGAGGACGCGGTGGCCGAGGCCATGGAGTAGCCGCCGTGGTCCCCCTTGCCTCGAAAACCATTCTGAAGCTGGGGCCCAGGTGGGTTGTGGCTCCCGGGGCCTACGTAGGACTGGAGGGGGCTGGTGGAGCCCATGCCCCCAAAGCTGGCCAGCCTGGGCCGCCGGAGGTCCCCCGGGGCCGGCTGCAGGGCGCCCCTCTCCTGCTCCAACCTTCTCCGCGTCTCCATCAGGGTCCTGGTGACATGTAGGTTGTGCCTGGGGAGCTGGGGTGAGGCAGGCGGCGGGTGCCGGCTGTCCGGGACGGCAAGGGAGGCAGGAGTGGGCTCCAGCGGCGCGGGCAGCCGGGGGACGGGCGTGGAAGTCGCGTGGCTGCTGTCCGGGAGGAAGCTGCGGCAGTGGCGGCTGTCACTGCTGGAGGTGGAGAGGGACTCCGTGGAGGGCCAGCCGCCTTGCTGGCCAGGTGCGGCCCTGGCTTCCAGGCATGGGGCCGAGGGCTTGTGCCGCTTCTGGATGGTCACCTTCCTGACAGTGTGCCCCTTCTGAATGTCGTCCACGTACTTGAGGAAGTCCAGGTCTAGCTGGTACCCATAGGGGGTCTCCACCGAGTAAGGGTCCCTCTGGTCTGTGTCATGGTCTCCGTTCAGAACGCTGCCCGCTTTTCCTAACAGAGAGAGAGGGAAAGGGAGGGCATTAGAAAGCTACATCATCACACACACACACACACGCTGACGTGAGCAGCCCGGCAGACCTCTCTATGCTTGACTCCTGCGGGGCAAACACAGAGCAGACGTGCACTCAACCCGCCCGCCTGCCCGGTGCTTCGAATCAGGGCAGGAGGCAGCACCTTGCATGAGCCGATCGCAGCAGGAACCCTTGCCAGTGCCCTTTCTTTAAGAACGGATCCTGCACAGATCCCGAAAGCGTGTTTCCAACACACGCTGTGTTTGCTGGCTACTGCGTCCCCTGGATGTGGACAGTGGGCATGAAGGCTGCTAGTGCACAATGTGTAAGAGGAGCCTGGATGTGCAGTGGGTCCACGCTGTGCTAACCGCAAGGTCAGTGGTTCAAAACCACCAGCCGCTCCAAGGGAGAACAACGAGGCTTTCTGCTCCCGGAGTTGCCGTGGTGTCGGTTCTGATCCATAGCAATCCCGTGCACAACAGAAGGAAACGCTGCCCGGTCCTGCATCATCTTCACAACGAACGGTCCCAAGGCCTGAGCCCGTGGCTGCAGCCATGGTGTGAAGAGTCAGTCTGGGAACCCACAGGGGTACATCTCCCCTGTCCTGGAGGGTCGCTGTGAGCCAGCATCCACTTGAAGGCAGCGAGGTTTTCTTCTCTTTAAGTCTTGGAATCACAGAGTGGTGGACGGTGGGCCTGGGCGGGAAGGACTGTGGTCCCTGGGTCTTGCTAAAAGGCATCCAGGTGGCCCCTGGTGCCTGCCTGTGAGCTTGCATGTTGCCTGCACACCAAGGACCAGCCGGGGCAGCCGATGCTGACTCACAGTGACCCTTGCGGGTTTCCAAGGCTGTAACTGTTCACGGGAGAGGAAAGCCCCGCCTTTCTCCCTCGGAGCTGCTCCTGGTTGTGCACCACCGGCAGGGCGGATCCCAGCCTGACGCACAACCACTGCACCACCAGCGAGAGATTTACTTAACAACGCGGACAGACGTCACTCCACCTGTGCTGGCCTTCCTCAGGGTGCCTCCTGCTTATAACCACTGCCACCCCAAACCTCCCCGAGCTCAAGAGGAAGAAACAAGGGTCTTCCCTGCTTGGGTGGCTTTTATACATAAATACTCTGCGTCACAAGACAGACAGGCCTTCGTCTGAACGTGCGAAGCGAAGGAGCCCACCCAGAGGCAAAGGAGGATGAAATGAGGGCCAGCCGGGGCCCTGACATCAGGGCCATGCCGGCGAGGGCGAAAGCAAGCCTTTCTACATAGGAAACACCCCAGCTCCCCTCCAACCTTGCTGCCCACCCGAGCTGTGTCTCTGCAGACGTCGCAGCAAGGCCGCCTGCGTCGGCCCGGAGTCACATCAACGTGACCTACGCAGTTCAGAGCTCCAGACAGGTGGTGCGTGAGAGAGCGAGAGAATGTGAGCGTGTGTGGCCCCGCCCCCCATTTATCCGCGGTATTTAAACCCACCTGTTGGGCTCCTCTGGCCGTAGCTTTGTCTGCCCTCCAGCCCCTTCCCTGCTGAACGTTTTACACCTGACAGCGCACACTTTAACTCCTGCCTCCACGCGGGCTTTCCCTTCAGACGCTGGGGCGAACACACCTGAAAGGTGGCGGAGTCTGCAGAAAGGGCCACGCATCCTCCCCAAACCAAATTTTTCTGATTCAGCCCTGTCTTTCGCCCAAGGAGCGAACCACTGACCCTCAAGGTTAGCTGGGGGTGGTGGGGGTGGTGGGGGAGCTCCTGTCGTTGGCAATGGTGCTGCGGATCTCGAGTCTGAAACCCGCACGCACGTGCGGGCACAGGGCTCTGCTTGCACGAGGATAGGCTCTTCTGGCCTCCGGATGAAGCAGCCCGGCAGGACTGGCGTCCGGAAGCCAGCGCTCCAGCCTCCCCGCGGCTTCCACACGGAGAACTCACTCAAAGTATGCAGCCAGACCCGTTCCCAGGACTGCTTGGCATTCCATAGCCAAAGAGAAACTGCAGGCTCCGGTGTCAGGCAGAGGCAGCCGGCTGTGGGGCCAAGCAAGGCTCCCTGGGGTTGCTAGCCCGCAAGCAAGTCTATAACGTGGCCGCCTGGGGACCCAGCCGGGTCTCTGGACCTGAGCGTCTCACACAGCCTTTCTTCCCGGCTCTAGAGGTATTGGGGTGGCGGGGCCAAGGCCCTGCGCCATTCCACCCACCCGCCGGCTTGCCCACCAGCCCGGCCACCCCCTGCAGGAGCCCACACCAGCCACTCACCTACCCAGAGGGCCCTGCTGCTGCCAGGGAGCTCGCTGGCCCTGGGCTGGGCCTCACCATAGGGAAGGTGGCGCCCTGTGGAGTGGGCTGGCCAGGCGCCCCAGAGCACCATAGGCCGAGCACTCACCAATGGAGGCGGGCGGCGGCTGGGGTGACCCCGCCCCCCTCACTCAGCTGGTTGGCTTGCCCTGTTTGCTTAATGAAAACAGGAAATCGGGCCCTTTTGAAAGCGCGTGTGTGCGCCCAGGCGCCCGTGCCAGGAGTTAAACACGACCACAGAGAGGCCCTGTCTCTCCTGTGCCAGCCACTGCATGAAAGGCTCCGTGTTCCCGCGGTCGCCGGTCACCTCAGGAAGCCCAGTGAGAGGCACAATCGACCCCAGTGTTCTGCGGGTCCTGAGGGCGCCGTGGGACGCCAGCCAAGAACACCCGGCTACAACAGGCCTCCCCAGGCCCCACATCACCAGCAGCACGCCGCCCTTCCGAAGCGAGCTGTGCCCCTGCGGAGCGTGCCCCTTTCTCTGCCATGTCAAACCAGACCCCCTCCCCCCACCCAGAAACCCTGCCCAGGACAGACTGAACCCAGCACGCACTTGCTTAAAGAACAGAAAAGCCACGTTTAAAAACCGCCCCCAAACCAAACTCGCTGCCATCGAGTCTGTGCTGGCTCACAGCGGCCCTACAGGCAGGGGAGGACCGCCCCTATGGCTTTCCGAGACTGCCAATCTTTATAGGAGTAGAGAGCCTCCTCGTTCTCCTGAGGAGCGGCTGGTGGTTTTGAACTGTTGACCTTGCGGTGAGCAGCCAGATGCATAGCCTGATCTGTTACCAAAACCTTCCAGAGAAGATAAGACAGGAGTCCCCGGGTGCTACCACCTACTGCCCGATGCAGGCATTCTAGTGTGAACCCCATGGATGGGTTTCCCTGGGTTTCTTCACAGCTACGCACCCCCCCACCCCCACCCCACAGTACAGTTTGAGCATTTTCTTTTTTTTTTTTTCAGTTTGAGCATTTTCAACCGCAAGGACAAATGTTCACTTCTCTGTCCCCCCTGCCAAAAGCCGTTGGAACACGAGCTGCCCGGCTACCACTTTGGGATTTAGGGCCCGAAGAAATGCATCCCAGTTAAGAGCCAAAATGTGGCGGCCCCTCCCTTTGCTGCTTTCTGAAGCCCCAGAAAAATCCCTGAGGTTTGGGACACACTGCCTTATCTCCAAGTGAACGCTGGGCTTAAACACTGGGCACCAGCCGGGTTTGAAATTCACCGGGGAGGTTCATTGTCCCATGGCACCACTCCACAACAGAGCCACCGCGACGCTGGTGGAGGAGCCCCGAGCCCCAAGGACGCAATTTGCCGCCTCAGCAGAAGAGGTGAGATGTGCTCTTGGTGAGAAACGCCGGTCCCTGGCACAGACGGTGCCCTTCCCGTGGCTACATCAGAAAGCAGAGGGCAGTGGGACACACAGCGACCCGAGCGAGGTGGGCGGACACAGCGGCTGCAGCCACGGCTGGGACAGGGGGACACGGTCCGCATTCTGTGGCGTGTGGGTGCCCGTCACCCACTGCGTCAGTCCCCACTCACATCCCTGCATACCTGAAAGGGTCTGCTTTCCAACACAATGCCCTGGCCCCAAGGGCGTCCCCGGAGAGCACCTGAGTCTTGGCAGGGCAGGGGTGGTGACTACACCTGGCACCACCTATACCTTCATTAGGTGGCACTGACGAAGGGCTCTTTAACGAGGTGCCAGGCATCTCGGTGGCTCAGGGGCTGACGTGCTGAGCGGCTAGCCTTCGGGGCGGCGGTTCACACCCACCCGTCCTCCTTCCGGTGGGGGTTCCAATCTCTGAACAAGGTCACTCACTCTGAGTCCGAATCAACTTCTGAAGGTGGGGGGGCTTGGGTTCGGGTTTGGGGTTTTTGGCTCTGTGCTGGACGTGCTCCCAGGGCCAGGGGAGAGGGAGGGAGAACAGCGAGGAAGAAGAGGAGGAGATAGGTGGCCGCCGAGACACACGGCCCACACGCGAACGTTGCCAAGAGCAGCCACACAGCATCTGTCTCTCTGACAGGAGGGTCCACGGGGCCTGGCAGGGTCCTTTTCTGAAGGAGCAGAGCTGGAAGGCAGAGTGAGGGAAGACGCTCAGTGACGGGGAGGGCGGGGTGGGGGAGAGGCTGCCTGGGCAGACCAGGGTGGGATGGGGAGAGGGCTGGCTCAGGGCCCAGCTCCGGGAGTCGGGGGGCGCATTTCCCCTTCATCACTGCCCTGAAGTGAACCCATTAGACTGACCGACGCAGGGGGGGACAGGGCCAGTCAAGCCCCCAGTGTGCGCTGGGTAACACTGGATTGTGCCCCCAGGCCCTGATGCAGAAACCCATCTGCTCCCAGAGACTCACAGACCCTGCTAGACATGCAACAATGGCTTTTGACTTTCTCCAAGTAAGTCATCCCTGGTGCTGGACAACGGGTTACACTAAAACCCGTCCCTTGCCATCAGGTCACCTGACCCACAGCCACCCTACAGGGCGGAGCAGAACTGCCCCCCAATACGGAGGCCGTGTGAGAAGAATGAAACCGCTTTGTTCCCCTTATTTACATTGAACCAGACTCAGTGTCCCTGAGCCCATGCCAACTCGCAGCCCCCTGTAGGACAGGGGTTTCCGAGACTGTTAACTCTTTCCAGGAGTAGAAAGCCCCGTCTTTCTCCCGCAGGTGGGCCGGTGGCCTTGAACTGCTGACCTTCA